GCTGCTGGCTATACCGACCGAAAAACCCACAGTAAGCCAGTGATTCCGGCCATGAAAGCCTTCAACAACACAAACACTTCCCCCGCCCTCCGCCTCAAAAAAACCCAACTTATACGAGCCACATTCCAGCTTTGGAAGCAGGGGTGTCAAGGTGACTTTGTCTACGAAAATGCAAGGAAATAATCCCTTCCCTTTTAGACAATTAGGATTCTTGGCAGGATTTTAAGATGGCTCCAGCTGGTGGCCCAGAAAGTTCACACCGTCGGGGGCTCAGAGCAGCTTTGCACCCAGAGGAAATTACAGCTAGAAATACTGCAGACACTTAAAGGAGCCCAAATTAAGGGAACGCGATGCAGCTTCAGCACAGAAAATACCCCAAATCATTTGCTGGAATCAGAGCACTTTGAATACTTTCAGAAATGTAACTTCAGTCCTGTAACTTGACACAAGACTTTAATATATTAGTTGAAATAAAGAAATGTTTATTTATGAATTCTTATAAAGCATATTTGTTACACAGTACTTTACTTCAGTTCCACTTGGATAGTGTTGCATCTGTCCTTTACTTTGGAGAATACATGAAACTGTTATTGTATTATTTTCAGGACAGTTTAATGTCAACTTGGCTAGGCAATTTCCTTCTCTTTCAAATATAATTTCTCCTCAGCCTTCCAACTGGATAACTTATATCTTATAATCACTTTTATATCAATAGTCTGACTGTAAACTTAGTCTCAAAGGACACTCTATCTCTCGGTTCCACCAGACTGAGGACTTAGACTCAAATTAGTCTCTTTTAACTTCAGTACCACAACTGAAGGCACAATCTTATACAAGGATCTTCTTCCCTCTAGCTCCCAGACTAGAGTCTAACTTAAAGTGGTCCCTTTTTTTTACTTCAGTATCACAATTGTAGACTTAAACTTAAACTAGGAACCTTTTCACTCTTGCTCCCCTGGCTAGAGACTGAAAATTAATTTTCAAAATGTCCCCTCTTCTTCTCAGCTAGCTGCCTTGCCATAATATCCACATTAATAAACATAGACAAAAACTCCATTATAATTAGTTTTTCCATTACAGCAACTATCTTGGGATTGTAAAGGGAAGAGTAAACACTCCTTTAGCTGTCTGTGCCTTTTTTCAAAAGGTTTCACCCCATTTTCTGTCCCTGTGATAATGGGGTTTTGGAAAATTTGGCTTGGCAAAAATTGATAAGAAGGCTTCATTGGAGACTCCTTCCCCCCAATAATAATGACTCTTCCAGGAGTGCATTTCCCATGTTAGAGGTAGTGTTATAGTACAGCGTGCTGATCAAGCTACTACTAGTAGTAGAAGGGGAAAGAGGGCTGGTCAGGTGCTGGATCAAGAGCAGCAAAGGAAGCGAATTAGGGAGATATTCATGATACCTACAGATACTGAGTTGTTCGAAGGTTTTACAGACTCTGAGATGGAGGAGGAGGGAGATGGGAGTAGAGGCTTGAAACGGGTTACTCAGAAGCAAGAGTCAGATGAAGAGAGGGAAAGGAAGCGGATCCGTGAAATACTTAATGCTCCAACTGAGGAAGAAGACTTTATGGGGTTCATGGGGAGTGATGGGACTGAGAGTGATAATGGTGAGAAGGCTGGGCTAGACTGGACCCGTGTACAACAGATCATGGACATATGTACTCAACCCACCTCAAATGAGGAGTTTTAGGGGTTCTCGGGAGACTGGCAACCTGGAAATACTTGGGATGATCTAAGTCTTGATAGACGCTGGAAGAGCTGGAGGGACGGGCAGTGGTGAGCAGCTGTGGAAGCAAAAGCACCTGAGAGCAATGATGACAGGGTGGAGTCCAGCTCCACCTCTGATGAGGAGTTATGGGATATAAGAAAGGTATCAAATTATTGGAACTTTGCAGTAGGCAAAGTGTTGTATTGGGCTTGGGACTTTGTTGCTGCCTCTACTGTCGCCTTGGGTCCTGGGACTGCAGATCGTTGTGCTTCTGTGCTTCTATTGACTGGAATCCTGTAAGTGCTGACTTCTACTCCTTGCTGACTTCGGATTGTTTTTGGATGACATTGCGTTTTGGACTTCTGCTTTTGGACGTGCCTCGACCTTGGACTGTTTCCTGACTACGTTTTTGCTTGCTCCCACCTTGTTCCCTTGTGTTTTGTGAACTCTGAGGTTTTGAAGCAGGTTGCTTAAAGTTTTTGTTATACTGGATTATATCTCTGTATAATCCGGATTATTCTCCAAATTGCTTTTTTTGCTTAGCAGTTGCTACAGACTTTATTTTATTGCTAGACTCACTGAATTCAAGAGTTTCTAAGCTATTTTTTTCTTTGTTAATAAACCTTGTTTGCACTTTTTACTTGTGTTTGGCTCCTTTAAGGCTTCTGGTTCACGACAGGTAGGCTCCTCTCACTTCCTGTTGTCTCAGCCCCATTGTTCTTAACTAGGAGTAATTTGTAAGTCAGATTACTCCTAGTTACTTTGTAACTTGGGGACAGCCTGTATATATATTGCAAAGAAAACACACACACACACACACATACCAACACGTATATATGCATGTCCTTTGCATCTGAGTGTTTAGTTTTGCCTTCTCCAACTAAAGTGGTATAATTCGAGATGTTCTTTGCAACTTAGGATCTTGTAGCTTCATTAGTAGCCGTGTGTGTGTATGTGGCCAGCTCATCCAATGCGACAGCAGTGCAAAGATGGCTATGTTCCCAGGGCCGCTCTCAAGACGGCCACAACACCGGTCAAGGGCAACGCGGATGAAGAGACCAGGAAGGGCACAGGCAAGTGGATGGGATTCAGCCTGGCAGCTAAAGGGCCATTTTCTAGGAGACTTTCCACCCCAGCCATATCATATGGTTCCACTTTTGGAGGAGGAAGATACGGAGCATGCAGAACAAGAATCCCAACCCACACCTCTGTAAACCACATAGAGGTTTATTTCTAAGCAGGTTCTCTGCCAGTCATTTGTTTCCACTTCCAACTTCAGAAATCGTTTTTGCACGTTGAAAAACATCCCAAGTACGCATTGCTAAGAAATGCAGCATGCAGAAATAGGAACTGGCCGACCACTTTCTGTATTACAAACTCACCAAGTAGAGGAAGAAATTAAACAGGAAACAAGAAAACAGAACGGTTCTCTGTTATGATGCCTTATGAGGAAATGGCACCATGAAGACAAAGAACGTTTCAGACCTGGGTCCTGAACACTTGGCCTTCAGATTCAATATTTGCTATTCCTTGCACTTAAAATATTGTATTATTAGTCTCGCAGAGACGGAGAACAACTGCATTTTGGCTTTTAACCTGCAGTTTGGATTTTGTTGTGACCACTATAAAGTATCTCCTTTTAATGTGGGTGTTTCTCATATACAGATTCTGCAGGCAGAAAACACAGCACAACAAGGATGTTGTCTTCAGCAACTAGCCAACTGGAGGAGAAATGGCAGGTTTCTCCGTCAGTTATCCTCTGGGTGCTTCCTTCGTGCTAAAGAGCTTAAGGCCATCTAGAGCTTATTGAGCTCCAACGAACCCTTAGCTGAACTGAGGCCCAACAAACCAGAACCAACAGAATGGGATGTAGGGACTTGCATTGTCCCAGTGCTTTTGAATCTAGTGTTGAATCTAGTGAAGTGTTTTTTAAAAAACACTTTTATAATCTTTCAAAATATTTTGTATTAGACTATAGAGATTCTTTAAGTAGTTAGCAAAAATAAGTTAATACAATAAGTATTTCCTAGATTCAAATTTAACCATAACTTCCCAAATTCAAAACTGTGAAATCAAAAAATAGATTTCCTGGAAGCCCCCCACGGTTGTTCTCCTTTCTGAAGAATACTTATTTTCAGCCCACATGTTTTGGGTTAAAAATGCACACAAAACAAAGTGCAGGCCATCCCTGGGTTACGATCAAGATCGGTTCTGTAGGTTAACTCTTAAGTTGAATTTCATTTTAACTACATTTTAATTGTAACTACAGCCATATATATATATATATATATATATATATATATATATATATATATATATATATATAAAATTGCTTGGACAACAACAACAACAACAAAGCGTTGCTTTGGCCCACATGGGGGTTCTATGTGGGAGGTTTGGCCCAATTCTATCGATGGTGAGGTTCATATCGCACCATCTGACATCCGCCGGGAAGTGGCAGCCAATAGTGAAAGAACCAAGGCAAAGACATCTCCAGCTCATCCCCTGTTTGGGTATCAGCAAGCACGTCAACGACTTACATCCAGACATAGTTTTCGAAGATCTACAGAGACACTCGCTGGAACACCTCAGCAAGCGAGAGTCCAAAAGTGGCAGGCTCAAACCCAGAACCTCAACCAATGGCTGATACCAAATGAGAAACTCCCCCCTGGGCACACAGAGGACTGGGTAACTTGGAAGGTGCTGAACAGACTGCGCTCTGGCATCACAAGATACAGAGCCAACCTTCAGAAATGGGGCTACAAAGTGAAATCCTCGACATGCGAGTGCGGAGAGGAGCAAACCACTGACCACCTGCTGCAATGCAACCTGAGCCCTGCCACATGCACAATGGAGGACCTTCTTGCAGCAACACCAGAGGCACTCCAAGTGGCCAGATACTGGTCAAAGGACATTTAATCAACTACCAAAGTCACAAAGTTTGTAGTTTGTCTGTTTGTTTGCTTTGTTCTGTTAGAAATGTAATATAATTGACTGGCTGCCCTGACACGACAAATAAATAGTCATAATAATGCTGTAAAACTAATTATAATATATAAGATTCCTATCACTCCCTGTTGTAACTGGAGGACCTGGGTCTGTATACATACAACATAGTAATATAATATTATGATGATATTACTAATAATATATAAGATTCTTCTCACTTCCTGTTGTAACTCAGGGACCTTGGCTGTGCACTGCTTTCCAGGCGGCTATGCCACCCACTTTCAAATGTTTCTTCCAGAAAGATAGCAGCAGTTTGCCTGCAGACTGGCGTACGTACCTCATAAGACCAGACGCATTGGACCCCTGCGAAGCGCCGCACGCACCTCCCGATCTCCACGTCCTCATGGGTGGTGTACATCTCACGAAGGCACTCCCCAATGTGGGGGGCTGTGCGCCGCAGCACCTCGCGGCTCATGATCACGCCGGGACCCCCCATACAGAAGTCCTCTCCTGGCTCCAGGGCAAGCTTCCCCATCTCCTCTGTGGTGCCCAGCCCCGTTTGGCCCAGGAAGAGGGGCTCGCTGCTGTTCAGGCTGCGGAGGAAGTTCTCCAGCTTGTCTCCTTTGATGTAAACGTCGTCATCCGCACGCATGAACCACTCGTACTTGTCCAGGTAGTGGTCGTGCATGTACTTGAGCATCATAAATGACTTCTTCTGAGGTGGGTAGGAGTCATCGACGCCAGGCAGGGGCACAATGGGGATGGGAAGGGAGGTGTCTGAACCCTCGCTGGAGAAGAACTGGACCTTACCAGGGATGGTGCTGGACCATGTCCTGCAAAGCAAAGACCAAGCACAATTAGGAAAGCCCTCTGATTACCCATTAACGAAGACTACTCTAGTTTTTCTTCTGTAAAGGTCTGAAACTGACCCATAAGAAAAGGTCCACAGATGGTATACCACACCAAAACAACTTGCTAAAATGTATAAAACAGTTTCTGATAAGTGTTGAAAATGTTCAGAACAAGTGGGTTCCTTCTACCATGTGTGGTGGACTTGTAAAGAAGCAGTAAAGTTTTGGAGGGTAATTCATGAAGAGACGCAAAAGATCTTTAAAAGAACTTTTACAAGAAAACCAGAGTATTACGTGTTAGGCTTTACAGATTTGGATTTACAATTGACAAAACAAGAGGACAAACTTTTTACATATACAACGACCGCCGCTAGAATTGTTTTTGCTAGAGAATGGAAGCAAGACTCAGTACCACCCGTACAGGATTGGGTGGAAAAAATCAGAGAAATAAAGGATATGGACGAACTGACTTTTTTGTTGAAGAAAAATACAGGCATGATAATAAAAAGAACGAATTGGGACAATCTTCATGACTATCTGGACAATTTGCGAATATAAAAAACAAGAGAGACAATTTTATTATCTTTAATTAAGAATTTTATATTTTTGAATAATAACAATATTTTATCCAAGAAGATGGAATGGAAGTAACTTTTTTCTTTATTTTTATTTTTTCTATATTTTTTTGTGTGTGGATGTATTCTTGTAGTTTTGGGGTTTTTTTAGGTTTTATTTAGGATATCTTTTTTTACTTCTTACTTTATTGGCCTTTCCCTCTCTTTTTTTCTTTACTTTTCTATACCTAATTATTCTCACTCTTTCATTGTATTCTATATAAAATTTAATAAAATTTCTTAAAAAAGAAAAAAAAAGGTCCTTAGCACATGAATGCTAAATGTACCCAAGACATGTTGGCAGTGTGGCAATTGAGACACTTTAGGTGTAAAGGATCATCCTTAGGTACACATTTAATGAGGCTTTCAAAAGATTGTAAAGGGCTGGGGAGAAAGAATACACCCTTTGCTGCAGTCGTCATCCCCATTAAGCCTTGTTTCTCCAAAAGATCATTCATTTTACCTTCGAGCCTGTTGTCAATTTAACTGACAGCCCCTTAAAGCCCTTTGGTTCCACCTCTCGGATACCTCCAGACACCTCAGCAAGCGAGAGTCCAAAAGTGGCAGGCTCAAACCCAGAACCTCAATCAATGGCTGATACCAAATGAGAGACTCCCCCCTGGGGAAACAGAAAACTGGGCGACTTTGAAGGCGCTGAACAGACTCCGCTCTGGCGCCACGGGATGCAGAGCCAACCTTAAGAAATGGGGCTACAAAGTGGAATCCTCGACATGCGAGTGTGGAGAAGAGCAAACCACTGACCACCTGCTGCAATGCAACCTGAGCCCCGCCACATGCACAATGGAGGACCTACTTGCAGCAACACCAGAGGCACTCCAAGTGGGCAGATACTGGTCAAAGGACATTTAATCAACTACCAAGCTTGCACACTCTGTTTTGTTTGGGTTGCTGTAGGTTTTTTCGGGCTATATGGCCATGGTCTAGAGGCATTCTGGCGTTTTGCCTGCATCTATGGCAAGCATCCTCAGAGGTAGTGAGGTGTTTTGGAACTAGGAAAAAGGGTTTATATATCTGTGGAATGACCAGGGTGAGACAAAGGACTCTTGTCTGCTGGAGCTAGGTGTGAATGTTTCAACTGACCACCTTGATTAGCATATAATAGCCTGACAGTGCCTAGAGCAAACTTTTGTTGAGAGGTAATTAGATGTCCTTGTTTGTTTCCTCTCTGTTGTTGTGCTGTTGTAATTTTAGAGTTTTTTAATACTGGTAGCCAGATTTTGTTCATTTTCATGGTTTATTTATTTATTTACTTACTTACTTTACTTCTATACCGCTGTTCTCAGCCCGGAGGCAACTCACGGCGGTTCACAAGACACAGGACACAGCAAAATTCAATGCACCAATATAAAAACAGCTAACAACCTAATCTAATACACAGTTAGTACACAATTACTATAACAACCGTTCACTAGCATCTCATCACTAAAAACATGATCCAGAGTCGTCATCCGTTGTTCCATTCCTATGTCATTACCAGTCATTGCACTAATTATTCGAACGCCTGCACAAATAACCAGGTCTTTACTTTTTTACGGAATACCATTAGAGATGGTGCTAATCTAATGTCTATGGGAAGGGCGTTCCACAGCCGGGGAGCCACCACCGAGAAGGCCCTATCTCTCGTCCCCGCCAGCCGTGCTTGGTTTCCTCCTTTCTGTTTTGTCTGTTTGTTAAAAATTGCTAAAAATGTAATACAATTGTCTGGTTGATACTGACACGATAAATAATTAAATAACTTCCAGGAACTGGGCTCCCTCCCATCCCTCCTCCCCAAATCCAGCAAAAAAAAAAGACAAAACAAAACAAAACACCCACAAAAAAAAGCCAGAAAGAGATAAAAACATATTCATTCTGGGTCAATTCTAATTCCCATAGTATTGAAAGGTATTTCAAAACGAGAAGCCAAAATGCAAGGGAGAAATGCTCAGAACGGGACACCCGGTGTTGTTTTTAATCTGCTCCTTCAAGTAGCTTTCACTGCGAAGGAGGATGCAGCCCCGCCACCATACAAGAAGCTTTTCCTCCACACAGACAGATTCATCTGGCAAAGTGGCCAGATTAGGTTCTCTCCAGCCATGCCCGTTAATGACTTCCCTCGACAAAAGCCAATTAATTATCAGGACAGCTTCTCTGCACCATGAAAGATTAACTGCAAGGAGAAACAGTAGGAGAGACAGTCGGGCAGGGAGGCACTTCCAAGGCACAAACGCAACTGTCTTTTAATAGAATCGTCAACCTGTTTTCAAAAATGCAACCGAAATCCCACATATTAGAAAAAATTAGGGGAAACAAAGGCTCGTTTCCCCTCCCCATTACTTCCGCAGCACTCCTGATAACTACAAGAATAAATAAACACCATCTCCCACTTTTTAGAGATACAGTCCGTCCCTGAGTTGCACACATCCGATTTACAAACGACTTCTAGTAAAGAGCAATGGAGCTGAGACAACAGGAAGTGAAAGGAATCTTATGTTACAAATCATTAGCATTATTATAAATACACTAGCTGTCCCCTGCCACGTGTTGCTGTGGCCCAGTCTGTTGATCTGGAAAATAAAGTAATGAGAAAGTGATGGTTTCTAATATATGTCATGTCTTTCTGCTTGTGGGTAAACAGTATTTCTTGCTGTTTCTTTGTCGGTGTGGAGAGTGTCTGGTTTGCCCACCCTGGAACATGCAAGATATCATAGTCCTTCTTTAAGGGTCCCTTTCAAATCTATAATACTATATCTGTGTGTGTATTAATTATATCTATATCTATGACTGGATGGCTATTTGTCAGGAGGGCTTTGATTACGTTTTCTTGCCCTGATGAAGGGAGTTGGATTGGATGGCCTTAAGTATTTTCTGTCATGGGGGTCCAGTGTGGGAAGTTTGCCCCGATTCTGTCGTTCGTGGGGTTCAGAATGCTCTTTGATTGTAGGTGAACTGTGAATCCCAGTGAATACAAGTCCCAAATGTCAAGGTCTATTTCCCCCAAACTCCATCTGTGTTCATATTTGGGCATATTGAGTGCTTGTGCCAAGTTTGGTCCAGATCCATCATTGCTAGAGTCCACAATGCTCTCTGGATGTAGGTGAACTACAACTCCCAAACTCAAGGTCAATGCCCACCAAACCCTTTCAGTATTTTCTGTTGGTCATGGGAGTTCTGTGTGCCAAGTTTGCTTCAATTCCATCATTGATGGGGTTCAGAATGCTCTTTGATTGTAGGTGAACTATAAATCCCAGTAACTACAACTCCCAAATGACAAAATCATAATTTTTTGAGTGATGGTCACTCCTTGTGTTGTGAGACGATTTGTTGCCAAATTTGGTGTGATTTCGTTCATTGGTTCTTTTGTTTTTAAGATACTCATTATGCACAGATCATTTATATATATATAGATTATATTATAATATTATTATTTTATTATATTTTATTATATATTATTAGTATTATTAAATTATTCCCCCCTCTCTCACTCTCTTCTATCTATCTATCTATCTATCTATCTATCTATCTAGCTATATAAATGCTCTGTGCATAATGAGTACCTTAAAAACAAAAGAACCAATGAACAAAATCACACCAAATCTGGCAACAAAACGTCTCACAACACAAGGAGTGACCATCACTCAAAAAATTATGATTTTGTCATTTGGGAGTTGTAGTTGCTGGGATTTATAGTTCACTTACAATCAAAGAGCATTCTGAATTCCATCAACGATGGAATTGAACCAAACTTGGCACACAGAACTTCCATGACCAACAGAAAATACTGGAAGGGTTTGGTGGGCATTGACCTTGAATTTGGGAGCTGTAGTTCACCTACATCCAGAGATCACTGTGGACTCAAACAATGATGGATCTGGACCAAACTCTACACGAATACTCAATATGCCCAAATGTGAACACTGCTGGAGTTTGGGGAAAATAGAATCTTGACATTTGGGAGTTGTGATTGCTGGGATTTATAGTTCACCTACAATCACAGAGCATTCCGAACGATAGAATTGGGCCAAACCTCCCACACAGAACCCCCATGTGGGCCACAGCTGGGATTTATAGTTTACCTACAATCAAAGAGCATTATGAACTCCAACAATGGAATTGAATCAATCTTGTCACACAGAACTCCCGTGACCAACAGAAAATACTGGAAGGGTTTGGTGGGCATTGACCTTGAGTTTTGGAGATGTAGTTCACCTAGATCCAGAGAGCACTGTGGACTCAAACAATGATGGATCTCACAACTACCATGTCAGACTACACAGAGAAGCCATTGAAATACACAAGCATGTGGACAATTTCAACAGAAAGGAGGAAACCATGAAAATGATGGTTAAAAAACCATCAGTATTAAAA